CTTATTTAGAAAATTTGGAATTCTGTCCTGACCATTCCTGGACATGAGCACATTTCTTTTCCCAGGCCAACCTTATTTGTATACCTGTGGGGAGCAACCTAGCAAAAATGGGACCTATGTGATTCAAACTTAATTCTAGTTACCTTTTATAAAAACCTGCTTGTCCCTCTTACAACTGATCCTTCTAGATGAAAGGTTTGGGTGAGTGAAGGATATGACTGAAAAAAAGATCAAAGTTACAGTTAGCAGAATGGGAGAATCAGGTATTGTGGAGATAGAGGAAGAGCAATAACCTAATGCTTGGGGTTATACAGGAGAAGGGAGGGCATTAACGATCTTTGTTTATCAGGACAGCCTCAGGAGCCTTCCTCCCCAAGGAAAACATTCTGGTGCAGCTTTCCCAAACAGTTGCAAGGACCTTCAATTTAACTGACTGCTGGGCTGGCCACTTGCAACCAGGTCAATCTAACCACCTTTCCCCTTTACCTTATAGAGAGGTCTATCAGAAACAACAGGAGATGATGCCAGCTCCTGCACACACACATGTGCACGTGTACCTCTTGATGTCAACCTCACCTTCAGTCTCAGTCATTCCTTGGAACACACTAATGTCATGCCCCCAAGCTGAGCATGGACAAACAAGCATATTGAGTTGACTGCACTTTAGCAAATCTCCCAAACAAGGACTAGCCTCAATTATTTGAACTGAACTGGGAACCTTAAGGTTTAGCTGCTAGCATTCTCACCTTGCTTTCCTAACTGATGTAGGTACCATTTGGACGGGGCTACCCTACCAATTGTAAAAACTTTCTTTTCAAGGGCACCATTTATACTCTCAGACTGTACTTCTTGGGTAAGAGCCAGGCATTGTGGCTCTTTCCTGAAAACACTGTGACTTGTTCTTTAAAGGTGTAAACGTTCAGCGCTTTTGACCTTCCAACACCTTAAAGAAAAGGGCTTAACTCTGAGGCAACAACATCCATATCAGGGCCCTCAGCTCTGTTATTACACTTGCTTTAGGGAAAGGACATTTGGTCTGTTATCCAGGTATACATTCTAGTTGACTGCTCTGCTTGCTGGGGTGAAGCATGGAGGGAACAAGGCTAGGTGACTCTTGTCACTTTTACAAATCTTCAATTCCCTCCCTACTTCTGCTCCTACTCCTCTAATTTCAATTTCACTCTTCACTCCTGTCATCTAGCACCCATTCCTTGGTTAACATGCCAGACATCACTCTACCCAAGTGTCTTCATTGCTATATGAGAGTTTATTTTTCTTTCTACATTTATGTTTTTATTTTAGTTGTGTCTCAGCAGGGCACAATACATACACATAGACTTATCCTCCAATCAGGACTAACTCTTTAATTTTTAATTTGTTATGTTGCTGTCAATTTGATCCAGAATATAAGATTATTAATTTGTGAGCACAACTTGTGATATAAGTGGTTATAGCTGGCTTTATCTCTCATCTTCTTAGAAATAATTATACTACTGCTGCGGCTGCTAATGATTTTTAAAAGCTATTTCTTGAGTGCTAAACATGTTCCAGGTAATTTACATATAGTTTCTAATCTTTAAAACACGATGGAGAAATTGTAGCTAGAGGACAAAATAAGTAAATTGTCTAAGGTCACAGAACTGGTAAGCATCAGGGCCTGCATTATCATCAAGGGCTGTCTGAATATGAGGCTTTTGCTTTATCTTTTATATTGCCCTCTCCCTTTTTGTTGTTTAGAAAGTCACTAAGCCATTAAAGTTACTAGAAGTCATGTGTTCAAAGCTAAAACCTTGATGAGTCCAGGGCACCTCTTCAAAAATGCTCACCTGGATTTTATGGTAAATACAGGACCATTTCAAAATGTTTCTTCTTTTTGTATCATCAATAACATACTTAAAGTTACTTTTGAAGTTACTTCTAGAAAACTTAAAGATGAAATTAAACTTTCTTGACATGGTATCTTCTCACTCACCATGGCTAGAGAGACTGAACATTTTGGTTAATTTTTCATTCACTGTATAGACAGTAAGGATTGCTCTTCTGCATTTTGTTGCCCTCTTAAATGTTCTCTTAATAGTAGGTTATGCCATCTAACGGCCAATTTGCTTATGCACCATTTTGCTTGTTACGCTGGTTTCCCTAACATTAAGTAGCTAAGACTAGACAAGGGCTCATAGAGGTTACACAGCTCCATGGAATGCCTGTCCTTTTCTCTTTCTTTTCTTTTTCTTTTTTCAAAAACATTTTATTTATTTTTACATCCCATTATATTTATATCCTCCTTCATCTTTCCTTATAAACTCACTGGGAAAAAGACAGCAAAAAATGCAAATATTCTCTTTTTTTCCCCTACAGTGTTGATTTTTTAAATGGCAGATTAAAACTAGCTGATAAGAGAAGAATAAACAGAAATAATATCAAAACAGAAATTTTTCTGAAGTGGGAGGATCACTCAAGGCCAGGAATTTCAGGACCAGCTGGGCAACATATTAAGACCCTATCTCTACAAAAAAAAATTTTTTTAATTACCTAGGCACAGTGGTACATGCCTATAGTCCCAGGTACTCAGGAGGCTGAGGCGAGAGAATCACTTGAGCCCAGGAGTTTGAGGTTGCAGTGAGCTATGATCACACCACTGCATTGTAGCCTGGGCAACAGAGCAAGACTCTGTCTCAAAGAAAAACAAACAAAAAACACAGAAATTTTCTTCTCTGTCTAGTTGTACTTAGCTGCTTTATTAAGGAACCAGTGCTACTTCCACCATAATAAAGAGTTAAGTATATATTTTCTCAAAACAAAACTCTATGTGTGTACTGTGGATAACCATCCCCTTGAAAGTCTAGCCAGATAGAAAACATGAAATGCTCTTCTAATACACTACATTTTCTGACATATAGTTGCAACATGAATAATCCTATTACAATATTTAAATTAACTAAAATGGCTTGAGAAGTGTGAAAATGCAGTTTCCCCACTGTATCATGTCCTCTGCAATGTATATCTCCAGAGGTCATGGACTTTAGTAGACTTTATATCTGATGCAATTATTGTTTGTCATTTTAGGAATATACTCCCTTTGTAGCTTTAACAGAAGAATCTTTTAGTTTTGCATAAGCTGTGTCTCCTCTTGGAACAACAGTAAACTTAATATGGTCTCTTTTATTCTTGAAATTACAGGGTCATACTTAATTCCTGAATTTTATATTTCAGTATAAATATCACCAAATGGTAAAAAACAAGTACAGTGGTATTTTAAAATACAAAATAAATGTCTGTTTTAAAGAAAACTACATTTTCTATCTAAACAGACAGCTCATCTCAAACAATAGCCCAAATTAATATTAATTCTAAATCTTCAAAATGGGAGAAACTGTTTTTCAGTTTAAGTGATTCTAGGAAAAAGAGACACAGTTAAATTGCTCCTCTAAAAATAAAATCTATTAATTCTTTACTACAACTTATTTTAAAAAATATATTTGCATACACTCTTTAGTAAAGCACCTTTCGTGTTACACCCCTGTTTATAGAAAAAACTTTATGTACTGTGTGGTGATTTTAACACTTAGATAACTTTTTCATGGTCCAAAATGGTTTCTAGATATTAAATACTGCTTCATTCAGCACGATTTTTTGTGTATGTTAGTCTCTATAAATTACTATTTAAAACTTACTTGCTGCTTTGGGAAGGACAAACTGCATTAAGGAATCAGGAAATGACTTCAAAGTTATCAGTCACATTCTAGGAAGTAGAAAGCACTCTGTTCTACTCACTCCCAAGATCCTAGAGAAAATTTTGCAAATACTACTGGACTGATGCTTGCCATCTCTTATCTAAAATAGTTATATTAGGCTGGGCACGGTGGTTCATGCCTGAATTCCCAGCACTTTGGGAGGCTGAGGCAGGCGGATCACTTGAGGTCAGGAGTTTGAAACCAGCCTGGCCAACATGGCGAAACCCCGTCTCCACAAAAAAAATACAAAAATTAGCTTGGCATGGTGGTGCATGCCTGTGGTTCCAGCTATGTGGGAGTCTGAGGCAGGAGGATCACTTGAATCTGGAAGGTAGAGGTTGCAGTGAGCTGAGATTGCACCACTGCACTCTAGCCTCGATGACAGAGTGAGACTCCAACTCAAAAAAAAAAAAAAAAAAGTTATATAAACAACCGCATAGACACAAGAAGAATGCCATGTGATCACAGAGGCAAAGTTTGGACTAATACAGCTACAAGCCAATGAACTCCAAGAATCCATGGCCACCCATGGAAGGAAGCTAGGAAAAGGTAAGGAAGGATGCTATCCAGTGTCTCAGAGGGGTCATAGCCTTGCTGACACCTTGATTTTGGACTTGCAGCCTCCAGAACAGTGAGAGAATACATTTCTATTGTTTTAATAAAAACAAATAACTGCACATTGTAAATCCAGCTTGCTTTTTTAATGAATGAAAGTACACTCTGAAAGCTACTTCCTTCCAATTACTTATATGCTGAAATTCTGTTATATCTTTACAGAAATGTCTGAAGAGACTAACTTTTTTTATAGTTAACTTTGTCTTTTATATAAACTAAACTTTTGTGTTAACAAGGTGACTGAAGGAAAGAATACCATGACTAGAAGCATTATACAAGTAATGTTGTAGGCTTTTCAACTGAACTGTTATTGTTTCTAATATATACCTCTAGAACAAAACTACATTATTATTATCAACCTGGTTCTTCCCCATTCCAAACTAAGTCTTTCCTCCCCAAAGATGGTTTCCTCCCCCAAATCATGCTACAAATTAAGACTTTCTTGCTAAAAAGCTTATCACCCAGGTTCTGATTACTTTTTTTTTAAGATTATGAGAAATTTTGCTTTTACAGAATTAAACCCTCTTAACTCAGCATATCTGTGATTTATTATTATAAGTTCACATGAAAAAGCTTGTGGAATCAGTCTTTTTAGCTCATTGATGTTTATAGAATTTTTGTTGAGCCACATGTTGAGGATGCTCCATACAGATTTTAGGAGCTAAGACGAGGTTTCTTCTTGGGGGATGTTTCATCTTCTTTATCTTCTTGTTTTTCTTCTTCATCATCTGGATGATCCACTAAACGAACCACACTGCTACCACTTGGGCTACCTGTTCCAATAGCAGCACAAGCAGAATAAGATGAAGAGAATTTGAAATCATCAGAAGATGTTCTTTTGGGAGAGTCTACTTTGTCTTCATGTTCTTGGGTTCTTTTAGTCTCCATAAATTCATCGTCATCTTCCAGTGGTAGCATAACTGCTTCTCCTTCTTGGGTTCTTTTAGTCTCCATAAATTCATCATCATCTTCCAGTGGTGGAATAACTGCTTCTCCTTCTTGGGTTCTTTTAGTCTCCATAAATTCATATAACTGCTTCTCCTTCTTGGGTTCTTTTAGTCTCCATAAATTCATCATCATCTTCCAGTGGTGGCATAACTGCTTCTTCTGCATCTTCCATAAAACATATTTCTTCTTTCAGCTCCATTTCTTCTATGGTACCTGTGCAAACTACTCTATTTTGCAGTACAGAATGTAAATTCTTCTGTATTTGACTTTGTCTGTCTCTCTCTTTTTCATATTTAATCTTCAATCCTTTGAATGTCTGAACATATTCAATTGATTCAAGTGTGTTATAAAACTTTTCAACTATATGTGAAACAAGAGGCTTGATATTTTCCACTCTTATGTATTCAAATAGCTCAAGAATAGCTGAATTCAACATATTGTACCGAGTTCCATTATCTAGAAGAGCATTTACAACTGGCTCAAAATGATTTCCCTTGATGATGTAATTATTATAAATTTCATCATTAAGGCTGATCATCCTTCTCATAAAGCGAAGAGCACACAAAATCAGGTGAGTATGCTTTGAATTCGTCAATATCAAGGCCTTTCTTAGCAAGTCTTTGTTCAAGATATAGTTTCTTATGTAGTATGTATGATGTTGTATACAAAATGTAAGTAGCTCTAAAATCAAAGCAAGCAGTTGTGCTGTTTGATTATTATTGGGGCAATTTTTGTTTTTGTCATATCCAACTATATCATCCTCCTCACAGTTGTGTTCTGAGGTGGCGGCCAAAAGTGGTGCTGTAAATTTATGCATGCAATGTTTGTAGAAGAAATGTAGAAATTCACTTCTTTCACTTTTCTCAGGTGTTGTCAGCATGTTGCGTGGATCAAGTAGAGTATGGAGAACTACAATCAAATGAACGGCACCTCCTAACTCAGGATCAGTATCACAGATCATTTGTTTAATTATCACATTAATGAAAAGGTCACTATCTTTGCACACCTGGGATTCTGAAATTATAAATTCTCGGATCCTGGATGGACTGTACTCCACTAGATAAGCACATATAACTGCAGCAGCTGACCTCACTTGCAAATCATCCCTGATCATTATGATTTTAAGAACAGGAAGAATTCCCAACTGTGTCAATGTTTCTAATAGTGCATCTTTGCTTTGAGGCTGTAATGCCTGAGAAAATGAACATAATTCCTTGAAAAAAATTAGCAATTCACACCGTCTATCATCATGTGTAGTCTCATCCTTTAACTGTGCAAAAACTTCATACAAAAATTTGTGATCTTTCTGCAGCATGCTTACTATCTCAGCCTTGTTGGATAAAATAAACGTTGTAAGTGTAGAAAGACAATTGTCTTCAAATATGGAAGGCACAGGCAAAAGAATATCATGAATGTACTGTACTCTGTATGTCTGATGTATTTTTTGCCTAAGTTCAGAGTTAGTTATTGGTATAACTTCCTTGAACTTTGCATCATTGGTCAAGAAGTCCCTATGCCTTTTTGGCTGATCCAAAGCAGGATCATACTCAAGGCATCCCACCACATCCATGATACACTCGTCAGAAAACATTATCTCAAACAGACATGACTTGTTGAGGGATAAAATTCCCTTAATAATTTCATGCAAACGGTATAAACCTTCAGTGTTCTCTAGGTTTTCACAAGTGTGGAACAGTTGCAGTAGTTTTTGAATATAAGCCTCATTTTTCAAGATCAGAGCCAGTCTTTCCCTACGGATAGGTGAGGCGAGAACTGAGTTAACTATGTTAGCAATTTGATCAAGCGTATTGAGTTCACAGTCAGGCAGCACAACCGTATTACCAATTACTGACATTTCATCAAAGTCTTCTTCTGATTCATCTGAAATGTTCTGTGTGATTTGGACAGACGGATCCTTACCTTGAACTTGACAAATTTCTTTCCAAATATCCTGGCAGCCGGCTGGGTCCTGGAAATTCAGCACCAAACCATGGTTCTCAGCTTCATACCAAACAATCAGTGTCTCTTCATGTTTCCGATAGGGCCTGTCTGGAGGTATCTGTGACCGCAGGATGACTGACCCATCTGAATCTGACCGAACAAGCAGAGACATGCCCTGGAACTGCTCGTCGTAGGTGGATGAGACCTGACCGGTGCCTAGATTGTTCCATTCCTGGTCTTCGTTCAGGACATAGACTTTTACACTGTACTTCAGGTCTGCCATGGCGTCCTCTGGCCTCGCCCCGTGAGGTCTGGTCTCCCAGGCACTGCTTCCGGTACAGCATAGAAGCGGCTGTTGTTTTGACAACGATGGTGGCCGAGATGGCACCCCTGATAGAAGACTGCGAATCAGTAGCGGCTAGAGGGGCGGAGCCAAGGCTTCGGAAAGGTCGGAGGGTGGCAGGGTTCCTTCCTGTTCCCTCTGGAGGCCCTGTTACCTCTCACTTTCCACTTTCCCCCACCTCAAGCACCCTGAATCTTCTCTCCATTGCCCCCCAATCCCCCATCCCCTACCGTCTCTTAAAAAGCGAGTCTCAGGCCGGGCGCGGTTCGCTCACGCCTGTAATCCCAGCACAGCACTTTGGGAGGCCGAGACGGGCGGATCCCATGCGGTCAGGAGTTCGAGACCAGCCTGGATAAAATGGTAATACCCTGTCTCTACCCAAAATACAAAAATTAGCTGGGCGTGGTGGCGGGTGCCCGTAATCCCAGCCACTCGAGAGGCTGAGGCAGAAGAATGGTTTGAACCCGGGAGGCAGAGGATGCAATGAGCCGAGATCACACCATTACACTCCAGCCTGGGCGACAAGAGTAAGATTTAGTCTAAAAAAAAAAAAAAAAGAAAAAGAAAAAAAAGCGAATCTCTTGGACTCTTCTCTATTGTCAAGAAAAGCGTCATTCTGGCAGGAATCTTGTGATTTCCCCAGAATTCTTCCCCAAAAGAATGTGCCTATGTAATCATTATTATACTTGTTTAAAGGAGCTGCCACCAAGTTTACAAATGGAAGCTTAGAAATTAGAATATGATTTTTCTATAAAGGGTTTTGTTTCTCTAAAACATTTTCGCTCATCAGGTATTTGGGAATGGAGCCTTAGGAATTTTGATAAAAGAAACTTTAATCACCTGTGTCCTGACAAAGTTCACATTTCACATTCTGTGTCAAGAAAAGGCTGGTCCAAAAAAGAAGCAGGAGCAAGTGACCTATAGACCTTTAGCAAAAATCAGAGAAATGATATTCAGTCTTCCCAATAAGGCTTGGCATGAATCTGTATTATTCACTTATATATCCTTTGGGGAGGATTGTTTTAAGAAGGAGTTGGTTAACTCCTCTGGTCTGTTTAGCTCATCCTAAAGCTCTATCTTCTAGCACAATGGGGAAAACATTTCCCCAACTTTTCCCACTCCATAAGGACACTCCTCATCCGTAGGTAAGGACTGGGCCAGAGGAAAACTGTGAGTTGAAATTAGCCAACAGTGAGTATTGGCCATCACAGATCAATTATTTTATTTCTTTTCTTAATAATGATAATAATAACCACAGCAACTAATAATACTTGAATGCTTATTATGTTCAAGACACTGACAAGAACGTTAGAGCTACTTTCTTACTTAGTTTATGTAATGATCCAATGGTATAGGAGTATTAGTAATCTTTTTAGGATCAGGAAATAAACTTAGAGAAGTTAAATAAATTGCCAAAGGTCACACACTAATAAGTTGAGGAACTCTGTGTTCAACATGTCTTTCTGCTTCCAAAATTGGTTTTCTCAGTCATTGAACTATGCTATCCCCTTCTTTTCTTGGCCTTCATTACACTTTATTTCACATTTCTTCCATCTATATAATTTGTAATCAACATAAAATTATCAAGACAAGATGGAAGTCACGCACTTCCTCCTTTAGATCCACATCTGTGTATATAGCCAACTGAAAAATAGAAGCTTGGATATGGCAACTCTGTTAAATATAATTTTAATAGTAGCCAAGTTGATTTTTGATGTAGCAGCAAGTTTTGCAGTTTTCTTTTAAAACATATTTTTCCAAAACATTAACCCTGTTATTGCAAGGGAAAGCTAAGAATTGGGGCACATCAAGCACATTTGGACTTGAAAAGTCCTATTTGTAGCAATCACTTCATTTTACATAGCACTGGAGATGTGTGACAATTCTCAAGTAGAAAAGAAAAATTTCCACACACCTCTTTTGTAATATGGCCTATAGTAGATTATAATTCAAGAATATTACTTATGACAGTACAGCTGAGGCTCTTGGGTAATTGAATGCAAAATGACAATTACTTCATAGGAAAATTTAAATGAATGCCAGGAGACTGCTGGTTTAGAAGCATTTACAAATTATAAATAATATTTAAACGTAAAATTAATAAATGACATATGAGAATGATATATGTACTAAATAATCTTCTTTCAACACGACAGAGTGTGCAAATACACAACAATAATACGACATGCATGCTAATGGTCTAATTTTTTTTTCTCTGCTGTGTTTATATTGAAGTCTCTGTCAGAATCAACTGTAATACTGTCAATCCCTTGAATATGCCTTCAAGTTCCATTCTCTGAGAGACGTTCAGCACAAATCTCTGTGTCCTCACAATTTCATCACTGGGAGTTTCCCTTAGGCCAACTAAGGTTCCTTTATCTTAATCAGGTTAACTAAAGTCTCTACGATCTGAAAGTCTTATATTCACATTTCTTAGTGCTATTTCTGCAGTAGTTTCTTTCAGTTCCTATCTTTATTTGGTTTGATAAGTAGAGCAATGTCCTGTTTTCTTCATCAGTTAACTTTTTTTTTATTTTTATAGTTGTTTTACAGGGAGCAAAGTAATAAGAATAAAATATTCTAGGAGCTGTGTAAATCCTTTAAATATACATTATTTATTTTTCATTTAGTCCTCATAAAAATTGACCTAAGAAAAATATTATTACTACCTTATTAGAGAGGAAAAAACTTGAAACTCCAAAACTGAGTCAAACATTTGGTTCAAACCCCTGTCGTAAGTGATGATGCCAGAACTTGAAACCAGTCCTTTTATAGTTCTAATTCTGCACTTTGCCCTTCCCAATATGCAGTGTTCTCTCTCAGACAGTATATAAATTTTTATAGCAGATGTTTACAACAATGTAGTTTTTATTCCAACTATGACTGTTATTTGGTGTTTCTTCATTTTATTATGTGAAGAAAAATATTTGAGGCCTGTTCAAAATAAAAATGTGTAGACTGAGTTTTAAGATTAAGAATCCCTCTTTTGTTTTGCATGCTTGCCCCTCTCACATTTCCTCCCTATGACCATAGGGTAGTAAGATTTAGTTCTTCATGACTCTGTTCTAAAAATAAATACATTTACCCGAGGATCTTGTAATTCATCCATATCTGAAGACCACTGGGGTTTAATTTTTACACTTGATCTTAGCCAAAAGGCTGAGAAGCAATGGGTTTAATTTTTATATTTCCAGAGTTCTTTAGAAAACAAAAAAGGAATGAGTCACACATTTCTGAATTTTGGGTACAGTAAACTCACACAAAATGTTTATGCAGTCACTTGCCACATAAAGACATTTAGGTCAACAATGGACCGCATATATGACGTTGGTCCCATAAGATTATAGTGAAACTTAAAAATTCCTGTCACCTAGCTGTCATAACATTGCAGCCCAATGCATTACCTTATCTATGCTTAGATATGTTTAGATACATAAATTTTACCATTATGTTGTAACTGCCTATAGTATTCAGTACAGTGACACGGTGTGCAGATGTGTAGCCTAGGAGAAAAAGCTATACCATATAGCCTAGGTGTGTAGTAGGCTATACCATTTGGGTTTGTGTAAGTATACTCTATGGCACTCACACAGTGACAAAATTGCCTAAAGATGCATTTCTAAGAACATATCCCTGTCATTAAGGGACGCATGACTATATATGAAACATTTTGATGTCTAAATATTCTATCTATAAGAGGACAGAGCATTTCATAGTGGGAAAAACAAAGTGATTTTTGGTTTTATGGAATGGCATTAAAATATGGTTATTCAAATGCATCTCATCTAAAATTTTCAACTTCAAAATAATTAGTGTAAAACACACCTACATGTTTGCTGCAAGTTTTCTAGCTAACTTATTCTGTGGAATGTTGCCTTTTATGGCATATCTTATTGGAATATCTGAAACGCAAGGCAAGCAGTGTCAACTCCATCTTTTCTGTGGCTCAGGTGAAAAATATGGAGTCATTCTTGACTTTTCCTTTTTTCTTACTCCTCACATTCAGTCTTCTAATATATACTGTCTGTCTGACTTTCAAAAAGTGTTCAGAATGCTGCCACTTCTCATCACATTTGTTATGATTATTACTACCAGTGACAAAGCCACCATCATCTCTAGTTTGCAAATTTTTAGTAGTCTCTTCTCTTAGCTTCCACCTTTTCCCTACACTAGTGTATTTTCAACACAATAGCCAGAAGTGATTCTTTTAAAACATAAGTCACATTCTTCCACTTCTTTGCTAAAAATTAATGTTTTTACCTTAGAACAAAAGCCAACATTCTAAGTAGAGTCTATCCATCCCAATAGGATCTGGCCCCTTTGATCTACTTGAGCTCTTCACCTAGTAGTCTCTTTCTTCTTTATTCTGCCCCAGCAACACTATCTACCTTGCTGTGTGTGAAGTACATTGGGCACACTTGCCTCAGGACCTTTGTATCTGTCCTTCTTTCCACCTGGAACACTCTATTTCTCAATGTCTATGTAACTAACACCCTCATTTTCTTAAAAAATTATTCAAATGTTCTTGTTTTTCTAGTGACACCTTCCCTAACCACCTCTTTAAAATTGCAGGGGCTTCCCATTCCAACTCACCCATCACTTTTCTTCGATGTGTATTTTCTCCATAGTACTTAGCATCATGTGATCATTTTGAATTTCATTTATTCTGTTTTCTGAAACCAGACTATCAACTGCATGAAGGCTGTGATTTCCTTATTTTGCACACTGCTCTGTCCCTAGCATTTACCATAGGCATGGTACACGTAGTTTCTCAGTAATTATTTGCAGTATAAATGCATGAATAAATAAACATTCTTTATAGAATGATTTCCAATAATCCATTTATTTATTCCACGAACAGTCATTGAGAAACCCCTATGGTCAGGCCCTATACCAGGCACTGGGGATGAAACAGTGAATTTGAACTTTATGTTCAGTCCTCTTATGGAATAGCTAGATAGTCTTATCAGGAGGTAT